GATGCCAAGTTCAACTCTCAAGACTGTCTCAAAAAACGCATGGTGCCATCACCCTCGCGATTTCTACCAAGAACGTTCTGCGGCCCATCACACTGGCGGCCGTCTCCCCACTCCACTCGATCCACCTGTCTCACCTACGGTATCCCTTGGTACCTCCACATATTTATTTGAAAACCTCTAAAAACCAGTGCCACCCTACGCACATGCTTTTGCATAGGCATTAGGAATTAGGTGAGCCCATTGGGCAATATTAGTATTGGGATAAAACCTAATATAGTCCTATTTGACACTGAGCTATCGCGGCTGTTCCTTATTTGCCTTGTAAACGACACTACTGGTTTCACTTGAGTTAACTATGGTATCTACCCGAGCCACCGCTAACGCCCCCTTGCTCGCCGCTACCGTCGCCGCCGGCACCAATTCTATGGTGCAGACCATGGATGCACTCTCACCACCTACCACTGGGACCGGTGAGACGAATTCCGACGACATGGAGGTTGAAATTCACGATTTGACCTCTCCGGTGGCCGAAATGCGCGATTTTGGCTTGAACTCGTTTTCGGCGACACGCGACGCCGCCTCCACCGATCCTGCTTCACCCCCTATGGTGCGTGAGTATGCCACCTCCCCGGGTCCCATGGTACCGGTCGGTGTGCCAAACGGTACCTCAAACGGCGCCACGGGTGCAAAGTTGGGTTCCACGATGACGCTGGGCCACCACCCGACCATGGCTAGCCGGCCTGGGACCACCACCGCGAGTGCTGCAACCGCTCCTGCGCCTATGCTGCGTGACCGGTCAGCCTCACCACCATCCACCGGGCCTACCAGAGTGGCCAGCGACGTCATGGACGGCGGCGATCACGATTCGGGGTCGCCGGTGACCGCCAACGACGATTCTGGCCGTTCGGGCCTATCCACCGCCAACACCGTCAGCCCTGGCGATGCGCGAAGTGATGTGCTGTCCCAAGCTATGTTACCTGCTCGTGTTGGTGACGCTGGATCGTCCGAAGACGTCAACCCACGCTCGAACTCCTCGCACCCAAGGGGCTCTGCAGCTTCGGCTACGACTGCCGCCTCGCCGCCGTCGACTGATCCATGGACCACCTTCGCTGCCAAGCGTGTCGAGGCGACCAAGGCGTCACGGGCGAAGGATGTGGGCACGTACCGTCCATCCATGGCCGATCTGGAGCCGCTCCTTGCCAAGCACACTGTCCTTCCACGACACTTACC